GAGTTTTTAAGACCTCATCAGCCTCAAAGGTTAATATTGTATTCCTATTGTCCTCCTTCATCTTTACTCCATAAATCTATAAAGTACATGCACCCAAACTACATCCAGCTGCACACACATCTGTACAAAGCTGCTCCGTCTGTCATTTCCTCTCTCTCTCTCTTCCACGCATGAGTCCCGAGAGCTGCAGTCGCAGTGTCTTTCACAGTTGAAGCACAAACATTAAACCAACACTCACTCACATAACTGATCTGTTGTAATGAGCCCAGTCAAACTGAAACTGATTTATATATCTCAACTGCAGGCTAACATACAATAAAGCCCAGATGAGGCAGAGGATAGGGAAAGTTCCTGCTGTCATTAACTGTAAATATGAGGGGCCAAAGTAAGCATTTGGCCCCTATTGAGGCATTCATAAGTTCCAATATGTTATCCCTGCTTTAAACACCACTTATTTGAAGTTTATATTGTTCACTTTATTGAGATTATTAAGCCGATGGACTACCTGGCCTTGTTTCACTTCCAGGAAGTTGGCAACACTCGACTTGAAACACGGTAAATGTCGAACTCTTAATGCGAAGTGGTACTTTAATTGCGCTGGAAACTGATTTACAGTCAGCCGACACTGGCGCTGCAAAATAATATTTTATTTCATGGAGGAACGTCCCCAAGAGTGGACGGCATGTGCCAAACGCAGGAAAATTATAAGTCATCAAATCGCCATCACCGGCAAAAAGACGCTTAACTAACAGGATGCGTACTGGTGAATGACTGATGATGCTAAATCGGTCTAAACAAAAAAATATACAGTATGTGCGTCACCGTTTTGTAGCCACAGCTCTTACGTGTAAGCAGTTTCTTTTCATTTTGTCCACACAGTGTGTAAATACTCATAAGATGATAAGACAATAAATGTTTTTCTCCAAATGTCCAGCAACCTAACCTGATTGGTTGTGTCCAGCATCAGACTCTGTCATTAAAACCACACGGAGTGCTTGCACATAAACCCTGGATATTCCGGCTTGAACCCCAACATGCCACAAAGAATTAGAAACACTCGCTAAGCGGCCTGCGATTGTCCACCGCCTGCCCCTCTTTCTGAACACACCCGGTGTTGCAGGCACCCTGTCAGCTTGCCAAGCGATAGAAACATCCCGGCCAAATCATGTAGAGGAAAGCGGAGCATTAAGCTTTTGGCCAGACTGCCTGCTGCAAACCATGTAATCCCCTGCTAGTAGCTACTGGGCAGAGAGGGAGAGGCTGCTGCTGGGTTACAGTTCGGCCCAGCTGGCAGCAGTGTGGCTCTGTAATGGCTGAAGTGGTTGATAATAAGAGGAACGGTTCGCAGGGCCGAGAGGGAATTAGAGGAAAAAGCAAGACGGACGCGCAAAAGGCCAATAAAGTAGAGCCAGTGTTACTCATGGTGAGGGTTTACGTGTCCTGACGCTGAAAGGAAATCCCACTCAGTTTAGCTAAATAAAGCGACAAATGTATTCATGGACACTCGGAGTAAGACCCTGGAGCAGATATTTCTGAGGTTGCACAAAGTCTCTTACAGTTGTAATCAGTAAAGCTTTCCTGTGTTTGGCACATGTGCTCATGCCCCCCCCCCCTACAATGTTACATAACCTTGCAGTGCAACTAATGCAACCGGCGCGACAATCTGGCCTCTCTGTGCTCACATTAAAGCAGATGTACTGCTAATTGTTCGACACAAGCGAAACGCGGCTCGCTTGGGTTGCTGCCTTTTTGTAATTGCGATTTCCACCGGTTGTTTCCTGAACTGCTGGCGCATCCGTTTCAAACACTCTAAACCCACGTAAGAGCAGCAGAGAAAAGTCTGAAAAATCATGCTGACAAAAGAAGATTGACATAGGCTTCCTGGTGTACAATGATTAAGTTTTGATGCCATAATGTGATTTTTGGTTTCATTTGCACCCAGGAACGTGTTCTTTTTTCCCTTTGTACCAGCATAGATGCAGACAGAAATCATGGGCAGAAAGAGGGGAACAACATGAGTCTGGGCTCCCCAGTTGGAATTAAACAGAGGATGCTGTAGCTATATAGCATGTGGCCTAACCACCAGGCCTTCTGCATCTACTTACTGTGAAAATTATGAGTTGAATGCAAAAAAAGAAGATTATGAGCTTCAGTAAAGTGGTGTTTACTGCAGCGATACCGTGAAGAGTTTCTAATTTTATTCACCCTCAGACATACAGAAGAATATAGACATCATTAGTATCACAAATACAAATGTAAAAAGTAAAACAAAAAGTATGTAAAAAGTAGCTTTCTCACTTTAATGCAGTATCTTGTTTTGTCATAACAAACAACCATTTATCCCACAGGTTTTTCTTTTTTTAACACCTCCTACCACCTTCCCATTTTAAGTACTTCCTGGGTTTGCCAAAAAAATCCAAAGGAAGAAAAAAAAAAAACTTTTTGGAGGTGTAGTAGATGTCTCCCCCACAGTCACTGACTCCGTCTCTCATAGTTCCTCAACGACCCTCTTCTCTCCAACAGACTCACACAGGCAGGCAGAGCTCCACCGACTCGAGCACAGACACAATGGAGTGAGTGCTGGCTGCTTCATGACCCGATCACACTGTCTATTCTGCTGTCTCATATCTACCTGTAGAGGCTCCTGTCTCCCTTTTCGAAAGTGCAAACACACATTTAGTATGTGTTGTTAGTGTGTGTGAGAGAGAGTGTGTGTAAGATATACAAAAGTACCCCTCTTTGCTGAAATCCACCTGTAGGAGTAGAAAGTAGGAGTAGAAAGTAGGAGTCGCACCTTTTTGGATTTGAATGATTACAATGCCATTTTGTTAATAGCAGGATGCATGTGTCATTAGCGACGAGTAGTCAGTTAATTGATGACTTGATCAACAGAAAATGAACAGTTTTGGTAATGATTTGCTGCTTTACATGGCTGTAAATGTAATATCTTTTTGTTTTGGACTGCTGGTGGTACAAAAAAAGCAATTTAAAGATGTCAACTTTGGCACTACAGAATGGGCGTTTTCTGACATTTTATAGGCTAATGTCACAGTTGCAGCCCTCTGCAAGTTAAACACATGCTCAAAACTTAAGCAGTGTATAATGGTACCATTATAAGAGTTTGAACACTCACAAGGTCAAAGCTCACGCTGACCTCTAGAGAGATAATCTACAAATGCTAGTGCAAGAAAAAAAAAAACATTCTCTTTCCTCTACCCCTCCTGTCTCTTTGAACGCCAATCAGCTCTAAATGTTGTCTTGGTCTCCCTTCCTTCTCCCGTTCCCTTGACCAGCCCGATGGCCAGCAGCAACGTGACCAACAAGACTGACCCTCGCTCCCTCAACTCCCGCGTCTTCATCGGCAACCTCAACACCCTGCTGGTCACCAAGGCCGACGTGGAGGCCATCTTCTCCAAGTACGGCAAGGTCGTCGGCTGCTCCGTCCACAAGGGCTACGCCTTCGTCCAGTACGCCAATGAGAGGAACGCCCGGGCAGCCGTGGGAGGCGAGGACGGCCGCATGATCGTGGGACAGGTGCTAGGTGAGGTGGACAAGGGGGGTTGTTGGATAATAAAGAGCTGCAGGGGTGGAGTCCAGTACTAAGTCTTAAAGTCAGTAATGAACTCCCTTTTCTGGAAACAAGTGAAAAAACAAAACTATTTTTCATCTTTTCTTTTAGAGGAATAAGTCAGTATATTTTGGCCAGGGACTGGTTGCCTGGCAACCTCATATGGACAACAAGAGTCCAGGAAGTTACTGTGCCAGCCACCTGTAAAAATTCCAAACTGTCCAAATTTGTTCACCTTTTTTTTTTAAATGTTAAACAAACCTGACACAATACATATGTCAATCAGTGAGCTTTAGTGCTTCAGGGCAGGCTAACTGTTTCCCCTTGTTTTCAGTCTTTGTGTTAAGCTAAGCTAACTGGCTGGGGGCTGTAGCTTTGTATTTTCTTTACAGACATGAAAGTGAGTTTGATCTCGGCAAGAAAACGATTTAAGTGTGTTTTCAAAAATGGCAAACTACTTTTTTGCGTTGGATTAAAGGAATTGCTGCACAGAAGACAGACATGTTTATAAAAAATACAATTTTCAAAAAACACAACATTCTCAAGGTTCCAATGAGAGGAAATGTGTTTATACATCACGTGTTTTTCTAATTATTATTATTAGTTATTGGCACAGTAGTAAAGCATGGAGACAATTAAAACAAATCAAAACGGTCCCTCTGTTTCCATACAAGGTCACAGCAGTGCTGAAGACTATCCCAGCATGCACTGGGCAAAATAAAAAGGAAATACCATGAAGAGGCCAGAAATCTGTTGCAGAATCATAAACAGATATATTCAGTCTCACAATCACAGTTATCACAATGTCCACATTCAAACTCAGGGACCTTTTTGTTTTCCACTATACCAACAGCTGAGCCACTGTGCGGCCCTCTCACCAGGAACAACACTGAAAGGAGGATTTTAAAGGATTATTTTGTCCAAGTAATCTTTAAAAACATTAACATCTGTCATTAACATGCGCACAGCGAAACAGCTGTTTTTGATCTAAACGTTCTGATCTGCCTGTTGCTCGACGTGGGTTAAAACACGCTCGAGTAATGCCGCCTGGTAGGGGTAAAACAGACCAACAACAGATCAGGTGGAGGGGAAGGAGTGATAAAAAGGTGTTAATTGAGATTTCACACTTTCTGTCCATAACGTGCATTCTCCCACTCCTGGAACCTCGAACTCTTCCCTCTTTGACTGTGTGTTTTTTTTTTTTCCCCTCCCTCAGACATCAACCTGGCAGGCGAACCAAAACCTCACAGATCGAAGACAGTGAAGCGTTCTGCGGGAGACATGTACAGGTGGATACACGCTGGTTACGCTCACAACAACAACAACATAGCCATTTCAATAATACCGCAACTCGAAAACGTAAAGTCAGGAAGTATTACATCATGTCAAAGACAAGTGCATTTTGCTGTAGTTAACGTTTCTACCCTGTCTCCGCTCTCTCCACAGTTCATCTATTGATTTGGACTATGACTTTCAAAGAGATTACTATGATAGGTAAGCTGTGTGTTCTTTAAGATCTTTAAGAATAATTGCTTGTGGTTTATATTCATATATCTTTTCTGCTGTACACTGGTGAACTCATGTTTAAAAAAGCAGCAAAAGTGCCCTCTTGGATGCCCCTGTGGTAGGTAAATCATGATTAAGGGCCCTCCAGGGTGCCTTTCTAGTGGAGAAAATGCAGTAATTTGTCTTCTAGGGTTCCCTCTCAGTGGACAAAACACTGCCCACTGGTGTCCTTTTTATTTTCTTGCCCCTGCCACAACCACAGATACTGCATTTTGACTTTTTCGGTCAGTTTTTTAGTTACTGCAAATTAGTTTTAATGGAAATTTTCCACATTTCTTTAGTAAAAGAGATGTCAGAAAGTCAATGCCCCGCTTGAATTAAGGTGAATTAAGTGCTACTAATATTGTTTTTTTATTATTGTATCTCTAATCGAGCTCGCCAGGTTCAGATTAGCACGTATGGTAAATACTCAACTGACCAAAAACCACTTGTGCTTGCCGTGGCACCTAAATGTTTTTGCACCTCTGTATCTCAGGATGTACTCCTACCAGTCCCGGGTGCCTCCTCCCCCTCCTCCCCTGTCCCGCGCCGTCATTCCCTCCAAGCGTCCGAGGGTCAGTCTGAGCGGAGGAGGGAGCCGGCGAACCAAAACCAGCTTCTCCTCCTCCAAGAGCAAAGACCAAAGGACCTCCCGTACGAGTAAGTACCGCAGTTATGTCGGGGATGACGGAGTCGGTATCACGTAG